GGAAAGGTTTAATATCGATATTTTTCAATATGCATATGTTTCGTGGCGTGAGGATATCTTAAACTGGAAACTGGAAATTAGCAAATTATAATTTCCGTCGGAGGGTTTAATAGTTTTGAGTGCTTTATTGCAAAAATTTTTACGTGTGCGTTCCAATTTGTATTTTATTTAAAATAAAACAAAAAACGTCGAAGTATTTGTAATCTTGGAAAATGTTTGAAGACATGCTCGAACAAAGTAGGTTTTTTTATTTTATTTTTAATTTCCAGTGAGCAATCATTACTAGCTTGCCAATTCATGCAAGTTTTTTGTTTGTTTGTTTGTTTTTATCACAAGGTTATATAATATGTTTTAATCAAAATATGTATTACATGTATTAGGCAGACCGTACGAACTATACCGGGTGCACGAAAAACAGAAAAGCATGTCTTTTATCACTGCTAAAATAGATTATGCATCAACGAACGTTCAGTTCACCCAAATGTAGCGCTAGCGGTTAGGGCCATATTCCGAATTCGAAAACCTTGGCGTTATCTCATTTAAACGTAATAAGCAAATTTGGGGAGGATTTTTACTTGTGTAATCGTCGTTTTGTCCTGCAACTTGAACGGGCGAACGCTAATAGCTCTTCAGTGAATTTACGAATCAACAACTTTTGAATAAACATTTCTTTCTAATGTTGAATCTTAACCAAAAACAAGAAAAAACTAGTTTAGTTTTGAAAACGTTATTGGTTACTATTTATTTTATTATCTTCGAATTATTCGACGTTCGGTAAAACGAAAGTTTTCAAGAAGAAAAAAATCTCTTTGCGATAAAATTAGCGGAAGAACTCATTTGGAAGATTTTCCCTCGTTGCGGCGTCTCTAGCCGATACAATCGCCTAGACACACAGTACGTGTTCTTCGTTCGTTCAGTTTTCCCTCTACACTAAAAGCATAAGGTGCGATCTTAATTAAAGTCAACGTCTCGCAGCATGCACATACCTTCAACAACTTTAGTTGTTCCTGCTTTATCAACAAATTTCGAACTGCCACATATAGATGAAAAATAACCATCGTCTTCTTGTTTTTGGTGTAACGAAAGCATTCCGTTAATGTCTCTGCATCGAACCCTGAACCAATTAAGGGGCGGATTTAAGAGGGAGCGCACCATGCAGTTTTTTAAAACATTCTCACGTGATAACCTCTCTGCAGATATTTCTCTATATTTTTTTCTCTAAGGACATTCACACTTTATTGGGAGATTACCGAAACAGACCTGTAATCAATATTTTATGTATATTTAAAAAAAATCTAAGGTTATTCACAATCAGCTTTTTTTTTCTTTTTTTGCACTTTGCGTTCGAAGACTTTTCACAAAGTTCACAAAAAAAAAAGTACACTTTTTATTGAATCGATTGATATATAATGTTAAAAAGATTTATTATTGAATCAATTCATACAAAACAATTTCGATGTAAGTTTATCCGTTCCTTAGCTAGAGCGAAATAAAAGAGTCAAAGTGTTGGTGCTTTATTTCTTTTTTTTTGTTTTTCATTCCGCGAGATGGCACTCGCTGCCCATTCGTCCATTCAAAGACGCGAGGACTTTTCGGTCTTCCTCCGTGCTTTTACCCGCATTCATTCCCCCTCTCCGTCCGTAGCGCTCCTCTCTACCTGGGATTTGTTGCTTCTGGATAGGTCCGCGTGTTCCGTGTTCACGCCAGCCGTGAAGCTATAGGTAGCGAGAAGCCCTCCGCGAGAACATTCGTGAGGACTGGGTGTTCCACAACCTCGCGGTCCGTGAATGCGTTGTGCTTGTTTGTACACTTTTTTTCTTTTAAAAACAATTTTTTTTTCTTGACACAAGGTTTTATTTTTGTATCTTTATCGTTATCATTCACACAAATGTCCTTCATCCTTGGGGTCGTGGAAATCGGGGATGAAACGTGCACAGAGTAGATTATTCTTTGCCTCGGGATGGAAGGGGGGGGGGGGAGGGGGGGGGGGGGGGGACGAGGGCACTTTTTCTAAGCCTTTTAAAAGTGCACGCAGGTCAGTAGTTTGTCGTGCGGTAGGGAATAGTATAAATCTTTTATGTCAAGTGAGCAGGCTAGAAAGCCTTTGTCCGCGTTTGTCTTTAAAAAATCTACGACTTCATCCGAGCTTTTGACTAAAAAAGGGTTGTCAATACAGATGGCTCCCAGTTTATCTTGCAGAAAGAGTGCTATCGATTTCTGCCATGTGCCTCTCTCCGAAACTATCACTCTTAACGGACAATCAACTTTGTGCGTCTTAGCGCTGAACATCATCTGTAGGCACTCGCTTTTGGTTACGTCAATACTCTGTGACAGCCTGTCTAATTTTAACCTCTGGCACAATTTTTCCCCTCCGCCTTTAGCTTAGTTAAAGACACCTTTTGACGCTGCTTGAACACTGACGAAATAGCCTCAAGGGCCTTACTCCCGAATTCGGCTTCTGTTAAGACCACAAACCCTCCTTCCTTGTCGGCGGGAATGATAGACAATCGACGCTCTTTCAATAGCGACACCACACGCTTAACCGGAATATGGGGCTTCGCGGGTTTGTTATTGTTCCTAGACAACACGTCCACTCCCTCCGAGATACAACGTTCAACTTCGCCGTCTGGTGCGCACCTGGCGACTTGGCGGACCAGGCCCAAGAGTTCCGGAGCGTTCATGTTCGGCTCAACCGCAAACTTTGGTCCTAGAGCAAGAACTCGTCGTACATTTTCTGGAAGCTGCACGTCACTCACTGATCTGAAGTCACACTTGGCCACTGGCCGTCGCTTGGGTAGGGTGGCACGTAGACGATGCAATGATTGCTGCCAGAGGAACTCTGTGGTCCTATCCACGATGCCAAAGAAATCCCTGATACGTCTGCTGTCCTGCAGGGGCTTGCTGGTGTCTCGAAGAACTGCACACAATAGGCTTGTGTACAGACGTGCTTGTCGCTGCCATTCCGATCGTAGGATCTTCAGTATTCTTGTGCCGTGTCCTGCTGACGGCTCGAAGTTTCCAAAAAGCTGTTTTACTTCTGCCGGCAAGTGTCTGCAGCGGACGCAGAACGATAACGTGCGAGCCTGGCAGGTGGCATTGGTGATGAGCGAAGCGATGACGCAAGGATCCAATGAAGAACATATAAAAGGGCCCGATGTACTAGAAATGAAGTTGAGTAACGCGGATTCTTGGGCGAGTTGGTACTGAAACTTGGAGAACATAATAGCGCTTCACGACAGGGACGAAGGGTAGGAACGAGACAACACAATGCGCTAACTTCAACTGGTTTAATCGTCAGAAAATCAAAGGTATAAATACTCTGCATCATCGCGCCATTCAACCAATCCCAAGCCACGCCACTGATCGCAAGAACTGGGTCTCTTTGTCTGCCAAATCGATCGACGCCACGAGGATTTTAAGATTGCCTAAATATGGCGATAACTCGCTCTGCCGGCTTTAAGCATCCTAGAAATCCATAAATCCTGGCGATACTCGGCCGATTTCCCTATTAAAAAAGCAATCTAGGATCGCAACATACCGATGTTATCTGCGGCGACGAGAGGAGCATGCTCCCAAACCAGGACCACTAAGAGCCAATAGCAAGCAAAGAATCCTCGCGCCTCTGACCGGTGGAACCGCTGAGTGATATTTCGAATGCGCGTGGCTCGTTGCACATAAATACAGGCCGGACAACGACTCAACCCAGCGAGCGCGCGCTCGAGAGCTGACGACCGGACACTTTCGCTACCGAAAAAAAAAGACAGAAAAAAAAACATAGTCCGCTGTTTTTATATATTTATTTATTTATTATTTATTTACAATACCGATAGCCCTTTCGGGCCGTTGCAGGAGTGTGCAGCAATAAAAAAAACAGAATTGAAGAACCGAAGATCAAGAACAATCACCACAATACAATCATTTGAGTACAATTTCGGTTGAACAACACCACCGAAAGTCATCATTACCAAAGAATACTAGTATGCTTCCACCTAAAAATCAAATAATACACTTTAAAACTTGTCGGTATTGTCAAACCCAACAAAGAGGTCGCCATCCAAACTGTTCCACTCCTCAATTGTTTTTACGAGGAGAGAATACTTAAAAACATCGAGATTTCAGAAATACGGCTTGACTCCAATCTAGTTATTAACTTTCGGTGACCTTCTACCAGGAAGCTGTCTATTGTCACTCGAACTGATGTTATGACGCCCAATGTAGAGTAATAGAAAAAGTTTAACTTTCCCAATTTTCTCCGCTGACCCAAGGTTGGCAGCCCCGCTTCTTTTGATAGTTCTGTTACCGATTCCGTGCGGCGATACTTTGAATAAACGAATCGTACTGGCGCAATTATTGCAGTATTATGTACCCTAGCTGTCCACGAAAAATTAACATTTTTCGGCTGCTCTTATTTGCTTTTATCGTCTTCAAACGCGTACATATTTTGTATTAACAGCGTTTGCAATCTGAACAAAATGTCGCGTTTCTATTGCTCGCATGCCATCCTGTCTGCCGGCCCAATGCTCCTCCTATCGGCGGAGATGACCTCGGTGCGATCGATCTTTGATTGCTTTTTTGATAGGGAAATCGGCAGCGCATCGTTTTGATTTATGAATTTCTAGGACGCTTAGAGCCCGCAGAGTGAGTTATCAACATAATTAGGCGATCTCAGAAACCACCCAATGGCACCTTTAAGGGCATCTTTGTGTGAAAAAAAAACAAGAGACATCAGCTTATTCTTTTTTTAGGAAATGTAGCTTTTGGTGAAATGGTAAATGTGTGGACAACGTATGACGGCTTGAAGCTGAGCTAATTGGTTCATTTTAGGTCAACATAATGAAACTGGGAAACGCTTCGCCCGTGATGTCACATCCGTTCGTGACGTCGTGTCTTTCTCTCTACAACCCTCCCCCCCCCCCCTTTTTTTTCCCTCCAAACAAGCCTGACAAGCTTGACCCATAAATTCGCCCCTGAACCAGTGTCCTTCTCTCGTCCTTCTTCAGACGTAGACTCATCCCCGGTGTACGGCGTCCGCAAGCGTATGCCGGTCCTGAAGCGGCGACTCCGGTACCAGGACTCGAAGGACGAGAAGCGCAAAAGGTCCACGCGGCGCTTCAAGGACAGCACGCTGCGCAAGAAGTCGGCGTCGCTGAAGCCCTCCAGAAAGAAGATGCTGGAGTCTCCGGACAAAAAGTCCGTCTTCAGGGCCGTCCAGCAGCACCAGAAGCAGCACAGGAACGCGACGCAGAAGACAGAGTCCAAGGGGTCTGCGCAGTCGGCCAAGAAGTACAACATCATGAAGCGAAGCAGCGGCTCGGACGAAAAGGTCCTCGGGGAACTGCGGAGCATCTTCAGCGAGGACAGCAAGACGGGACAGAAGAAGACGGTGAAGAAGAGGGAGGACAGCTCGGTGGCTCTGAAAAGTGAGTGTACCAGGCAGGCAGCCATTGGGGTTTCGATGGTGCTGCCCGTTTCGCTTTTAAGTCCAATCACAGCCGAAACTACGAACCAATGGAGCCAACCTAGCGGCGCCAAAAGTACAACGTCACGGCAGATGTTTTCCGTGCGGGTTTGTGCTCACCGGCTTAGCCAATCACTATGAGTGATTGGTAATTAGTCGGCGATAGCAAAAGCACAAAGACAGTAAGCGCCATGACGAGGAAATCTTTGGCGCTGCTGCATTAGCTTGATTGAATAGTAACGTAGGCTACGGTCGAACACTTAAGCCCCGACCACGCTCTTGCGTTCGCTGTTGTTGCGATCTCTGCTATGAGAGAACGCACCTAGAGTGCCTTCATACACACGCGCGCTTTTGCTTGAGTGGTGACATCTCAGCCATTTTTCCGCCCATTCGTTTTTTCATGCATCTTGAAGTGCGCGCAATCCGGTGTCACTCAGCTCGAGCGCCTAGCTGTGGCTAATGCATACGCGCCATTTTACCGCCCAAGTCACGCACCGAGTGCGCGAGAGCGTCACGCACTGGCACATTCAGGGCAACAATGGATGTCTTCACCCTGAGACAGACAGACATGTAGGCACCCTAAACGCACCGGCACACTGGCGCCATCTACGAGGTGACTCTGGAACTACATTTCGACTGGAGCGAAGGTTTTGGCAGTATTGCGAGATCAAATGTACGTATTATCTATGAGAAATGATCATTTATAACATTGTCAAAAGTTTTTGAGCCAAAAAAAAAAGATAAAGAGCGATGCGTGAAAAAGACAGGAAATGTACGAAACTGCCAAGTGTTCCTCGACTACCCGATGATAGATGGCGCCAATGTGTTCTCTCGTCGCAACTCCGATTCTAAGGAAGCGTTAAGGAAAGCAATGAGTAGCAGTATCATGAAGATAACTGCCCCGGAACAGTTGAGGCTAAGCAGAATTAGTTTAATATACAAGGAAAAGGGGGACATAGCTGACATACGTAACTCTCGTCTTATACTAGTAACGTCAATAGTCAATGTCTGCGCGCTTGAGTCGAGCTTCACCGCTTTGCATCGGTGTGCTAGCAGAAGTGGAATGCGTGGGAAGCACCCATGGGTTGGCGCAGTAATGGCTCAGAAATTATGCTAGGCACAATTAAAGGTCGACCTCCTTCGGTCTTGATTGTAGGTTGACCACTGATTTTAAAAATCAGTAAAGGGAAAGAAAAAGGGAACAAAAAGAAACTGACGTATATTTCAATAAGCCGTCGGGGTAGTTCCAGCGCACCACTCGATAGAAAGGGCACCGGACCCTGACTCAGTTCTGGCTACAATGCCACTACCCCGCGGAAGGAAACCATATGTATCTCTATTATCCATATCCCATAATACCACGGGAAAGATCCTTATGATTAAAACTGTGAAAATTAAGTGGTTTTATCCACGGACGCTACAATTTTAGGTTGCTCCAGATAATTTAATTTATCTTATACAGGTATTACACACATAAAACAAACATAATATTGTTGGTTTTGTATGCCATATCGATTTAATATAATATAACTTTAATCAGAAAATTATTGATGACGAAAAGAAGATAACAATGGCATTCATGCCGCATGTGACAAACTATGGTACCATGGCCAAACGTGGAAATGAGCTGTGCGTTCTCCGTTCAGAAAAATGCGTATATCGTATGGTCCTTTCATATGGTTTAATGGGATATGGGTCGTATGGGTGCACATGTTGTATATTTGTTCTCTCAGTAGGGTAACTTTTGCACGACAAAGGGTGTCACTTTTTAACCTTAATTCCAACTCCACGTAATATTGGGAATTGGGGCGAAGGGGGATATTAGATAGTTTGGTAGGCTTATAAAACTTGGTGGAACGCACTTTTCATTGAGGGACGCGAAATATGTTAGTTTTTATGTATTTTTTTCATAAATAACATTGAAACATTGACAGGCTACTATAGCTATGAGTGTGAAAGGATGAGTGGAAGAAAAGCTTAATGTCGACAGAAATTCCTCACTCTGATTCATTTTACACTATTTTTCTTTTGATCGCAATTATGAAGGGAGTTTACTTGGCTTGGAGGTTTCTTTCTGAAAATAGAGTTGTGTGTCATGTACTTTTTATGATTATTTATATGTACTATAACTTTTGTACGTTGTGTGTGCGTTTACACAGCCGGAAGTTAGGCAGCCTCAATGGGCGTCTGGTGCCTCAGCTGTAGATGAGCAATTTAGCCAGTGCCCCACAACCGCTAGCCTGGGGTCTTTAACGTGCACGACGCAGTAGTGATATACGACCGCACGCCGGTACGATGCTCATCCAGATCGAAACGGGCAAGGGCAAGAATTGAGCCCAGGATCCCTGGGCTCTGCAGAGCGTGCTTTCGCCCCACGTGCTCCGAACTGGAGTGCGCTAGCCCACTCGGCGACCAATCCCCCTTTAAGGCTCGTTCGGACATTTGCAATGGTCGCGTTCGCATGCAACCGGAACGACCGTAATGACCAAATTACCGAAGCAACCGTAACTCATGGATTGCTTCGTCAAGCTACCCTTTGCATCGCTTTCCATGCTGTGTACTGCGACACTTGTCCCGGTGAAGGTCGTTTTGGTTGCATTCGAACGCTACCAACCTTAAAGGCTGTGAACCAGCCTTTAACTATAATTGCAAAAGGTAATAAATATTATCCTTTAATAGCAAATGTATACTCTCAATTATAAAATATTTATAAATTTAGTGATGCAATCATCGTCTAATTTTGAAGTAATGTGCTAGCTTCTCTTGGGATACGCTCCAAAAGGGTCAATGGCTGCTCCAAACCTACATTTCGTCTGCTACAAAACTTGATACAAAAAATCAAATGCCACTTCGATCATTGTAGAAGGCATTTGCGCTGTTTTGTTTTTTATCCGACCCCCCCCCCCCCCCCCCCCGGGCCTGGGGGAGGAGCCCTAGCTCTGAGAGGGGGGAATATAGAGGGACTTTCCATCCCTAGCCCTTCCCACTGGAGAAAGGAATCCCCTGGTTCGGAGTGGTTAGCCGATGGTCGAGGCGGCCTCGTCAAGGGGAAGGCTGACATAAGGAGTAGTGTCCCCACGAGGGGGGCGGGGGGAGGAAATGGCCCACTTTTCCGGTGCAGAATCGTGGGATATCAGAGATCACTGCTGCGGGCCCACTTGGTTCATGGTCGCATACGGTCTCGTCGAGCCCACTATGCAAGATGCTCATGGCCCCTGGGAGGGGGCGTGTGGAAATTGGGGTGTCGGGGTGTTTTTCCCAGCCGGTTCTTCCTGGGTCGTCCCTTTGGCAAGGCCTAGTTTTTTTTCTTGCTTCAGTTCCCAATTGGCTTTTTTGGGAAAATTACCACTCGATCCTTGGATTGTATTCGTTTACATCGAATTGGCTTTAAATCGGGTGTGCCTACACTGGCGGTACCGATTGAGCAAACTTTATTTTTTTAATATTTTCACAACGCCTCACACAGCTAATGGTCCTTTTCCACGGCACTTGACGTAGCACTACATGTCCGGACACCGCTGGGTATTGGACGCGCCGTCAAAGTCCCGCGAATATGAGAACAAGTGTGAGAGAGGGAGCCAATCAACGGCCGCGCCGCCCGTTATCGATCCCTTAGTGTGATGGCGTTACGGGGGAAAATAAGCAGACTTTGTGCGTATATATGGGGCGCTGCTAGAGGTACGCAAAGGAGGGAGGGGGTTGGGGGGGGGGGGGGGTCGTCGTGATCCCTTGAGGTAGTTGCGTGGTTGTGTCCATGGCTTTGCGACAGCTTGGTGAGGCAAGCTCGCGCCGTAGTCCCTTGGGTTCTGGGATGTGAGCGGGACGATTTTCTCTTAGGAAATGAATACGACGACGTTAAAATTACTGTCAACTTAGGAAACTCGAAAAGTGATCGACACCTGGCCCCCTGGTTTGTTCGCAATCGACCTTGTCCGCGCTTGTGATACCTTTTTCGTAGAACACTCATTAACTTTATTTAGATAACTTTATAGGCCCGCACACGACAGTAAATAAATAACCTTCTCATCCGTTCCAAACTTAATCACCCAGGCGCTTGACATTTTACGAAATCCCACCGCCCAGCTCCCAAGGCACGAACGGCGTGCAGAATATTCAAATTAGCTAACAAAATGGCTGCGTCGTTCAATGGTCCAGGGACCGTTTCTACTAGGAAACGCATGAGACTCGAGATTATTTTATCGATTGATTCTCGGATAACGCTACAACAAAGATATACATATAGAGATCGCTGTCTCTCGAAGAAGTAATCTCGGGGTGGAGCAAGGGTATCGATTTGTTGTCCCCTCAGGGGACAATCGTGATCGATTTGCCGCGTCTTAAATCTGCGCACTGCCTCTTAGCTCAGCGATCGATCGTGTGTGTTAAGGTAACGATGTCTGGAGCATGAATGGGACTCTGGAGCTTGACAGCTCAAGGCTAAAAAAAGGCACGCGTCATAGGGGTGGTGTATCTAAAAGCACCCCTTGATTAATTCTGGGAATTTGATCGGTTGTTTGGTTTTTGATACATTCTTGGTTTCAAGAGACCACGCCAACCAAGCATATTGCCTTTTATTATTTTTTTTATTTTTTAACAATCTACTTTTTTATTAACGGTGTGGTGGAAATAGAAATGGCAAGTCTAAATCCTGGGGAATAAATGTGTAAAATTTGCTTCTCTCACTTCTTTTAGGATTTTTTTTATTATTTTTTAATATATAATTTTCAGAGCAAGACTTCCCCGGTCAAGTTAAACAAACAAATTTAAAACTTTGTTTGTAGAGCCCAATATTTTATGGGTTTATTAATGAAACCTGATTTCTATCGGCAACAATTTTGATGTATACACTCTAAAAAAACCATGCGTCTAGTTTCCCGCACAACACTCGGAGAGCCAATCACCGCAGCTTACGGAGGCAGCTCAGGGGATGACGATGCCAAAACATATGTTTATACCAAAAAA